ACCACGACGACCACCACGACCACCACGACGACGACGACGACGACGACGACGACTGCTACGACGACTGCTACGACGACGACGACGACGATGACCACGACCAAGACGATGACTCCTGCTCATCATTATTAGCATCGTCAGATTCGTAAGGCGAGTAGTAAACTACCGATGGCGTCCATTGGAAAGGAGGAGGCGCCTGACTTCGCGGGTCAAGCACGAGCCGCGATCCTCGAGGCCCTAGGAAGCGTGGCACAGCAGAAGGCGGGTTGTGTGTGTACTAGCAATAATGATAATGGTAATAATAACAGTTGTTATAATTAATTATGAGAATAGTACTCACAATAATAATCATAAGAACAATGACAATGATAACAACAATACCGGGGGGGGGGCGGAGGGGTGGCTTTCTTTTGCTCCGATTCCGTAGCCTCGGTGCACAACGCCTCGGACCCAGAACACACCCCCAAGTCCAAAATCCTGAGCCTTAAACCGGAGGTTTTGGGGTTCGGGTGTAGGGTTGAATACGGTTTAAGAATCGAAATCCTGAACCCAGAGCCCTAGACTGGCAAATCCTAAGCATCGAACCTGGCTTCAAAACCCTCGGGTTTATCGCAGACCGCATGCTAGACAGGCCGATGCAACTTAAACCCTAAGCCCTAAACCCTAAATCCTAAACCTGAAGCCCGAAGCCCTAAGCCGGTTCGACAACTTTGTTGCGGGCATTTCGGGCGCCTCAGTCAGGACTTAGGGTGTAATGTGGGTAGTTCTCTAAATGAGGGCCCCTTAGGGCACACTCATAACAAGGACCCTAAAAGGGACCCTGATTAAGAGAACTACCCGTATAGGGGCCTTGCATAACTACCAATACTATTTTGGGCGTTCCTCACTGTAATGATAGCAGAATAGACCCCAAAGCCCCATTCTGATTCCTAGGGCCCCTATCTTCGGGTTTCAGGCTTTCGGGAGATGAAGGGTTGCTGCGTTCAGGGGTGTTGCGGTGAGCAGTGCAGGGTTAAAGGGCCTGAACCCAAAATCCTAACACTTACAAATCCTAAACCCTAAGCCCTCAAACCATAAACCCTAAAGCCTAAACCCCCTAAACCCTAAACCCTAAACTTTAAACTCTAAACCCTAAACACCTTAAACCCTAAACCCAAGCCCTTGGAAACCCTGGAAGTTCCGAGTTTCTCTGGGAAGTCAGGGCAGAAGTTGCAGGGCTTGGGGTTTCAGATTTGCAGCGCAGTATTGCTGGGTTTAGGAGTTTGGGGTTCAGGAGTCTGGGGTTTAGGGGTTCAGGAGTTTGGGGGTTTAGGGGTTTGATTTAAGTTGCCACGATAGGGATCTATAGCAAATAAGTGGTTTCCTTCTTAGAGTATCTTAAATTATATAAATCCTTTAGTAAGAGCCCAGATTGAAACCACGGCGAATCATCAGGAGCCGCATCACCCTTGTCATCCCTAAGCACATGCACGTTTGAATTATTCCCCGAAGCCCTATCCTCATGAGTGAGGCCTTACAGACGTACAACCCAAAACCCTGTTCTAATTATTCAGGCCCCACCATCAATCACACCTACACCCCTAAAAGTCCTAAACGCTTCATCCCAAGCCATAAACATTACGTCCCAAACGAAAACCCTGAACATCTGGGTCTCTGTCGAGGCCGCCTACAAGGACTGGTGTACTGCCCTCCCCGAGCAGCGCATCTGCATCCCCGATTTGCCTGCGAGAGAGGAGGCAAGGGGGCAGGGAGGGGGGTCCGGGGGGGTTTGAGAGAGAGAGCCCCAAGCCGCAAAAGCTACAACCCTAACCCCTGACCACATATTGGTGTGATATGGAGTCGTGATGAGGTGAGGAGTTGCAAAGAACCCTTGAAAGGATTTGTTTTCTGTCAAACGAAGCCGCGAAACGTCACAGCCAGGAAATTCGGAACAGTTTGCAACCCCCAAAAACCAACCCCTAGGGTTCACATGCGATCTGAGGTGTAGGAGTTTTTTTAGAAGCCGAGCTGACTGGTACTATTATTACTATTTTTGCCCATCGTCCTTATGTAGTGGTAATGTAGTATACCTCAAAAAAATTTTCAAATGATTTTTAGGCACCTATCTATATTCAGGGTTGGTTTTTGCTGCAAGTGCAGCTGCAATTCACAACGTCTCGAGGTTTGTCGCACATTCGCTGTCAAACCCATCGCATCAGGGTTCAGGGTCTAGGGTTTAGGGTTCAGTTTAGGGCTTAGGATTTTGTTTAAGAGTTTTCGGTTCCACTTTTTCGGGCTCAGGCTTAGGGCTGCCCGCCGACGCCTCGGAATGCAGGGTCGTCGACTCCTTGTCGGGTCTTAATCCGCAGGGTTGTGAGCGCAGTTGCTGTTGACACAGTTGTCATTCGGAGCTCTTGGATTCGGGACCTTACGTAGCTGCCGGCAACGTTTTCCTCGATTGTCTGTAGAAGGGCCAGCTTTTCTGCCCCAAGGAGCATGACAAGCCGCCTGTGCCGACGGACCTGTGCCTTGCGTGCTCTTGGAACGTTCTTGAGCGTTTTTCGGTTTTTTACGGAGGTAAGCTAGTGGGATCTGAATAATTTCGACACTCATTCCTTAAGGCTCCTATTTGTACATTTATCACTGTAGTATAATACTATGCGACACCCCAAAACCCTATTCTAAGCGTTGGCTTGCGGTTCCCCCCCCCATTTAGGGGGAGGGGGGTGGGAACAAAAACCAAGGTACGATCGCATGGTTGCGGCTGTGGACTCCTCCCACCATGACGTGCCCTTTCTTCTCTACTGCCTCTGCGAGCAGGTGGCTGACATGTGCAGAAATCTTACACACTATTTCCCCACTTGTTAGGGTTGAGGGCTTTGGTTCGACTGTTGATGATATAAATCCTGCATTATCCATAATGAGGTATCTACCACAATTCCCATAGTTTAGGGTCCTTAAGGTCATGCAGGATTTATATCATCAACCGTAGGGTTCTAGGGAACCTCCCAGTTAGATTGCAGCGATGAAGTCCCTAAGCCTGATATCCCGGGGATCGATGGCCACAGAAAAGGTACCTTGCAGGTGCCGGATAATGTAGAAGTATGAATTCTTTTTAATGTTAGTCCCTAGTGTCCATTCTTCTAGGCATAACGTCAATATATCCCATAAGCCACGACCTAGTCTTGGACAACCATAAGCAGCACCATAAGCCACAACCCTGTTCTAGGAATTAAAGCCCCTACATTAGCCGGGGTGTTTTGCCAGCTGAGACTTGCGGGACTTTCTGGATTGGGGATCCGGGAAGCGGTCTTGCCCCAAGTTTTGAAGTGAAATGTTCGGGGATGATGATAGTCTATGATGCTGATGATGATGGTGATGATGATCATGATGGTGGTGGCAGGGTATGACGATGACGGAGCCCCTAAGCCCCGTGCCCTGCAGCGTAGCAGTAGGTGTCGCTTCTGAGCTGAGGATGAGGCTGTTTGGAGCCACATCTTCAGACCGGGGCTCGAAATGGGGGTTTCCGAAAATAGGGGACCCTAGTATAGCACCCTAAAGCAGAGGATCCTTATTCTAAGGACCCCCAACAGAAGGTACCCTAACTTTTCGGAAAGTCCCAAATGAGGGGAGGGAGTTTCTCAAACCTGTGCTCTGAGCATTAATAACACCGACAAGACCTTATACCCTGAACCTTAAACCCTAAACCACCAAAACCGCCCAAAAAACCGTTAGGACCCCAAAACCCCAAACCCTAAACCCAGTGTAGAGTGTCTTTGTTCGAGCCACCTACTTTCCGAATCTCCACCGTTTCTGGGATTTGAGCCGTTTCAGAGCCGCTCCCTAGGTTCGCCTTCTGGTCTCAGAGCTGTGGATTTCGGGTTAGGGGGTTTAGGGTTTAGGGTTAGGGGGTTTAGGGTTTAGGGTTTCTGAGCTTGGAACTTTGGGTTTAGGTATTTGGGTTGTCGGGTTTTCCTGCGAGCAGGTGAATCACAACCTCCGTGGTGATGCGCCGGAGGTATTGGCAGGGAAGAAGAAGCGCACTCCCGAGCAGGTGGGAACAGGGCTCAGGGTTTGGGAGTGAAGAGTCTCGAGCCCACGGCTTGAGGTTTAGGGTTTAGGGGTTTAGGGTTTAGGGCTTAGGGTTTAGGGTCAAGGGTCTAGGGGTTTAGGAAAGCTCTCATCTAAAGGCATAGGCAACCTCAAGCCGCAATCCGCTTGAAACAGGTGACCCAAGCTGCATTCAACACCTCAGGCAGCACCGCGACCCAACACCACACACTAACAAACCCTGAGCCCAACAGTTCTAAATCCTGCACTCTAAGAACCATATAAGCCCTAAACCCTAAACCCTAACCCCTAACCCTAAACCCCCTAAAACCCTAAACCCCTAAACCCCCTAACCCTAACCCCTAAACCCCTAAACCCGGGCCCAAATCCATGAGCCCCCCCTGGCCGCAAAGTAGAGCTCAGGGGCTCAGGATGATTCTGGGCTTAGGGGGAATAGGGTTTAGGGTTTAGGNNCCCCTAACCCTAACCCCCCCCCCCCCAACAAAAGCCCCGAAAATCCAGGTAATGGAGTCGGCCAAGAAGGACTTCCAGTCCATGAGCTCCTTCTTAGACCAGGCTCCGACTCTTGGGGCTTCCAACGGCTTTAGGTTTTAGAGGGGGGTTTTAGGGTCTAGAGTTTGGGGNNAGGGTTTAGGGTTTAAGGCTGGAGGGTTGAGGGTTTATGGTTTAGGAAGTTTAGGGTTTCGCTGAGGAGTTTAGAGTTTAGGGTGTAGGGTTCGGTTTGGGGTTTGGATTTAGTTTAGGGTGGAGGATTTCAGTGTTCAAGTTTGGGTTTAGGGCCGTTTAGGGTTTCAGCATTTTCTTGAAGTTTAGGGTGTGGGGTTTAGGATTCTCAATGCGGGCTTTAGTTTTTATCATCCCAAAACTGTACGAGTGATCCTTAAACCGGAAACCCTAAACCCCTAAGCCCCCAACCCAAACCCCTGAACCCTAAACCCCTAAACCCTAAACCCCTAAACTCTAAACCCCTAAATCCCTGAACCCCCAAACCCCTTTAAACCACTAAACCCCTAAACCCTTTTAAACCCCTAAACCCTTTTAAACCCTTTTAAACCCCTAAACCCTTTAAAAAACCCTAAACTACTGGGATCCTTCACGGAACCCTGGGGTGCAGGCCAGCGACCTCCTCCTGCTGGGAAGGGACGCTCCGCGGGAGGACGAGGAGGCAACCTTCCTGGGGTCTTCTCAGGGACTGTGGCTTAAGCTCTGTTTAGGGTTTAATGTGGCTTAAGTTCTGTTTAGGGTTTAATGTGGCTTAAGTTCTGTTTAGGGTTTAATGTGGCTTAAGTTCTGCTTAGGGTTTAATGTGGCTTAAGTTCTGTTCAGGGTTTAATGTGGCTTAAGTTCTTTTTAGGGTTTAATGTGGCTTAAGTTCTGTTTAGGGGTTTAGGCTTTAGGGTTTAGCGCTTAGGGTTTTGCTCATAGACAGCAGGAAGCTCTGCAAACGGGGCATCAGGAACTGTTGTGTCCATGCCTATGTAGACGGCGCCACTAGAAGAGCCCTTCTGCGGTTTCGAATGCTTTTTTTTCATTGATCCATCAGCATCCGGTCGCCTTTGTTTCCATGACATCTGTGCACACACGGAAAGACGTAGCTGAACGCATGAATCGGATGTGGCCATCTGCAGGTTTAGGGTTCAGGACAAAGCTGGGAGGATCGGTCCTGGTGTTGTTGGTGGACGGTTTAGGCTCTGGGGTTTAGGGTGCAGCTTTCTTGTTGGGGTTTTTGGGGCGTAGGGGTAGGGCACAAACCCTAGTCCTATAGGGCCCTATGGTTGGTGTCTCGTCGGTTTCGTTTATGGTTACTAATATGATTACTCCATGACTAGTGTTGTACTCATGTTATGCGTATGGCCATTATTGCTGCCAGCACCAATGGTTCTATAACAGCTTTCGCCCGTGATGTTGTTATCGTGGTGGTTCTTGGACTTGTGATTGCGGAGCATTCCGACGATTACCGCCGCCAGCACATGCACCACACGAAACCTTAAACCCTAAAAGCTAAGCCCCGAGTCCCAAACCCGAATCCTTCAAGCCGAAAGCCTAGAGCCTATAAAACACCGTATAGAAGCTACGGAAATCCGTCTAAAACTCAGCAAGGCCCTTGTAAAAAACGGTAGAGAGCCATAAATCCTTGGTTAATTTGGTTTCAGACCCCCATCAGACCCTATGACAATGAACACCACCCAAACCCGAGCCCTTTGTTTTCTGCAGTGGAGGACGTGGAGCCTCAGGGAAGCCTCATCGACATGGTCTTGAAGGAGTTAAACGTGCGAAAACCGTAGGGTTTAGTCTTTAGTATAGGGTTCTGAGCTCTTCAAGGGTTTTAGAGGAGTCTAAGAGGGGTTCCGCAACGGTTCTGGTCGGGTGAAGGGTTTAGGCGTAGGTTTCTGTCCAAGGGTTTGATGGGGCGTGGTGAGGATTCAGAAAGGCAGACCCCTAAACCCCAAAGCCTGGGTTCTATGTGCTTTTACAGTGTTTTATAGGGTGGATTAGCAACAATGGAAGCGCTAAATGTGACATCCACCAGGGCAGCTATGGATCTGACTCCTGGCATATGAGTACGTTGAGCATGGTGATGGTGACGATGATGACATGATGATGACGATGACGTGATGATGATGATGATGACGATGACGATGATGACGACGATGATGTACCTGTCACGTAATCGCTCACCGCATGGCTTGCGAGGAAGAGGCCGCTGCCCAAGGCCATGTCGAAGAGAAGCCCTACATTCCCGGCCTTTTGGCAGCATCGCCTTCATCGGCATAGGCGTGTGTATATGTGTATATAGACAGACAGATAGATAGACAGAAGGAAAGAAGGATGAATAGACAGATAGATGTACCTGTGCATTGCGGTAATCATGAGGGTGTGTGTGTGTGTGTATGTGTGTGTGTGTGTTTTTGCACGTGTGTGCATCTGTTAGTCTGTCTGTCCACAGAACCCTGCAGACACATCTGAGGAATGGGCCCGCCACCAGGTGTCGGGGCAGCGTCGAGCGACACAGGGGACGAGTATGTGATCCCGCACCTGGCCAAAAATACAACCCATGGCAACACCCCAAGCCCTAAACAGGCCTCTCCTAAACACTGCACCCCAACCCCTAAACCCCAATCTAACACACCAAAGACCCGAAAGCGTGAAGCCCGAACCCTAGACCTTCAATCCTCAACTCAGAGTCCCCGAGCTGTACGCGGGCTTCGGCTATCGGATCTCGTATTTTGGATCCTTGTGTGGGGACCCTCAAAAGCCCACAATTTCCTCAATGCAAGGTCAGGGTAGGTCTCTAAATTAGTTTCCATTTTCGATCCCAGAATAGTACGGCTTCAATCAAAAAAGACGGGACCCTAAACTAAAAAAACAACCCACCAGCATCCATCAACCGAGGTACTACGACCGGGTCAGCTGCAGACATGCGGGAGATCGGCTGTCCGGGGGGAAGTCGGTGATGCTGGAGCTACTCGGATGACCCCCGAACCCTAAACCCTCCAGATGAGATGACTCGCGAGGCTTGTGGATTCATGGTCTTCCAGCTTTTGGGGTTTCAGAGGTAAGCTTCAGGAATTGGGGTTTGGAGTGTAGCATAAGCAAAGAGAGGGAAACATACAGCAACAGTTGGTTGTAGGTAGTGGTCAGTTTGACCAGGAAGACTTCTCGGAACAGCAGAAGTCTTGACACTAGTATCGATAGGTATGTATGTATGCATGTTTGTTTGTTTGTTTGTTTCTTTTTTTGTTTCTTTGTTTGTTTGTTTGTTGGTTCGTTTGTGCGTTCGTTAGTTCGTTCGTTTGTTTGTTTGTATATTACTGTATATATATATGTGCGAGTATATATATATATGTATATGTATATGTATATATATATATATATGAAGAGCCGCGGCACGGGGCTTGAGTTTTTTGTCATTGCGGGATTGGTCCATTTCGAAGCTGATCTTAAACGCATAGGTTTACTGTAGGGTCTTACCGGGCTGAAACCGAAGTTTGGGTACATGGTAAAATCCTGCGGCGAGCAGCTCCTGAACCGGCTTCGAGATAGAACATGCTGCAACTATGCCGAGATCATACCACAGCAACACAGGAACGTGCACTACGATTTAAACCCAGATTTTCAGTTCTCGCCCACAAGCCTCCTGACGACCCGTTCAAGAACCCAAGTAGGACCCTGAACTTAAAATGCTAAAATCCTGGAATTCTTGAACCCTAAACCCCAACGAAACCCTTAAAAGGAAGCCAGAAGCCCTTATAGTAACCCTTCTTAAGTCTCAGTCTGCTTATCCCGTATAGAGGCACTTCTAGAACCTCAAATCTCTTAAACCCTAAACCTTAAACCCTAAACCCTGAACCCTTCAAATCTCTTCTATTCGTTGGACTCCCCAGGTTAGAGCAGATCTTGTCGCACCTGAGTGCTCCCGGCATCAACCGGAGCGACTTTCCGAGGACTTGCAGCTTCCGTTCGGTTTAGGGTTTAGGGTTTAGGGTTTAAGGGTTAGGGTCTAGGGTTTAGGGTTTAGGGTTTAGGGTCTAGGGTTTAGGATTAGGGTTGGGGCCAGGGTTTGGATAGCGGTCGTTTGCAATAAGGGTCCATGTGCCCACAAAGTGTAAGCTTTTGAAGACTGAAGGTGGCGATGCTTCTCCTTCTTGCCAGTATATATCGTACTGCTGATTGCTCTTGCCACTAGTTCCAATCGCACCATGTTAGGTGCTACCAGTACTCCCAGCAACGTTGGTACTATTATGCACCCTCCATCGCATGGGCTTGTAAGGTTACGATGGGAGCCTCAAATCCGCAGGCTTTGGGGCGAATAAAAACCCAAAACCCCACAGCTTAAACCTTAATTAAACCCAAAACCCTAAACCCTGAAGCCTGAACCCTAAGCCCAGCCAGTCTCAGCGGCTGGGTTTCAGTGTTCAGGGTCTGAGGGTAGTTGCATTGAGGTTTCAGATTTCAGGCGGAGGCCTGCAACCCTCTATGGTGCTTTCACCTCTTCATGTTTGGGAGAACACCGTTAAAAACCCCTAACCCTTAAACCTATGGTAGTTTCAGCTCTTCATGTTTGGGAGAACTCCGTTAAACCTAAAAACCCTAAACCCTAAACCCTAAGATCTTATCGAACCCGGAAAGCACCCTCAAACTCTATGGACCGCTTAAAGGAATCGCACAAATAGCCATTCAAGGGAGCCTAAGCCCTATACCCTAAGCCCTAAACCCTGAGCTCTAAACCCTAAACCCTGAACCCTAAACCCTGAACCCTAAACCCCAAACCCTGAACCCGAAAACCTGAAACCTAAACCTATAAGCCCTAAGCCCTGAACCCTAAGCCCCAAGCCCTAAACCTTGAACCCGAAGTCCCAATCCCTAAATCTTGAACCCGAAGTCCCGAACCCTAAGCCCCAAGCCCTCAATCTTGAACCCGAAGTCCCCCTACACATCCCCCCAGGAGAGTGCAGATGGACCCAGCCGAAAGGTCTGCCTTCCGTTGCCAGGCCGCAACTTGGGAGTTTAGGGTTTAGGGTTTTAGGATTGAGGGCTTTAGGAAACCCTAAACCCTAAACCCCTAAACCCTAAACCCTAGAGGACTTGGGGTTTTAGGGTTTTAGGGAAATAGGTTCTGGGAGTTTCTGAAAGGGAACCCTCGGCTTAGGGTTTGTAGGGCTTATAGGGTTTATAGGGTTTTAGGGTTTTGGGGTTTAGGGTTTAGGGTTTTAGGGTTGTAGGGCTTTACGGTTTTAGGGTTTAGGGTTTAGGGTGTAGGGGTTTAGGGTTTAGGGGTTTTAGGGAAATAGGTTTTGGGGGATCGGGTGTTAGGGGTTTAAGGATTTTGGGTTTCAGGGTTTTAGGGTTCAGGGTTTTAGGGGTTTAGGTTTTAGGGATAGAACCCTACAGTAGAAGCCCAAAAGTTGGAAGTTGGAAACCCAATAGCCTCCATCCTTAAAAGGTATAGGGAATCGTCCGGTTTCCAATTTTTTTTACAGGGAACCCTATTCTAGAACCTTGTCGTAGCCTGAAAGGGTCCCCCCTGCAAAAGCCCGTAACAGGAAGCTACTATCAAGGAGCCCCACAGGGGCTCCTCTTTATGGGGTCTCCGAGGGATCTTTTCAGGGAACTTGAAGGGTTCAAGGGATCCTTTGAAGGGCCCCTGCTGCCAAGGAGGAATTCCTGGAAGCTCTGCTTGGTTTGATTAGGGGTTTAGGGTTTAGGCTTTAGGGGCTTTAGGGGTTCAGGCTTCGGGGGTTCAGGGGTTTAGGGAAAGCTCGGGGCAGCCAGGGAAAGCGGCAAAGCGTTCCTTTGATTCACAGGCTGGCGTTTTAGTATCGGGCGAAGCCACCACCCTCAGCAGCCAAGGAAATCGGATCTACAAGTTCCTGCCAGGCACGACTGATGGTTTAGGGCTCGGAGGCTTTTTGGAATGGTAGGTAGAAAGCCTCCAAAATGCACTTAAACCCTGCGCAACCCTAAACCCTAAACCCTAAACCCTAACCCTAAACCCTAAACCGACAGGTTTGGCCTTAGGGCTGGCAATGTCGGATGGGTGAGGGTGTAGGGAGGAGTCTCGCAGGGCCTGGCATCTCCTGGCAGAGCTATGTCTGCAAAAAGGCAGAAGCATGATTCTGAATGAAACGATATGATGGGTATGGTGCAAGAGATGAAGTACTGAAATTCGATAAACGTCACACTGTTGAGCACTTCTGTGTGCCTTATCATGCGGTGACCACAGTGCAGTAGATAATGACATCTGCCATCATGCTTGACGATGGCTACTTGCGGGGTCTTGTCCCTAAAAGGATCCTCGAAGAGTGTCTGCATGATCAGTCTGTATTTCGGGTTAATGCTGAGGCATTTCCCCAAAGGATCATCACCCGCATTTGGAAAGTGGCCCGAACAGTGAGAATCTTCTGCGTGCTTCCATGCCTTGAACTCTAATGCAGGGGCCTCAATAATTACACACTATTTTTGGGGGTTCCTTATTAATATGATTATAGTATGCTGTGCCCCAAAACCCTATTCTAACCCCTACATTACCTTGACAGCGTCTGGGAACAAGGCATGTCTGTGGTGGAGATCGAGCGGATGTTGATCCTCCAGGCGCACTGCTCAGTCCACAAGCCTGTAGGACAGTCGCGCAACATAGTGCGACCTAGGAAGATGCTGTACGGCACAAGGTCTCCATTTGGCATTCACTGCGAAAGGCACGCGCTGCTTTAGCTAAAACAAACACAACGCCCACAACCTGAACTCTAAACTATTTCCATAACCCAAAACCCTCAAGCTTGAAAAGGTAAAGAGGATCCACGACCAAAGTTTCCGAGGAGTTTCAACAGCTCTTGCATGAAGCGCAGCCGGAGCGTCAGTGGGATCTCAAGGACCATCTCTGGTTTCCTTCGTAACATGGGGGCCTGGATAAGTCGACCTACCATGGGCGTTTTGCAGTATATGAAAGTATCATTATTATGGTCAGTTCCCAAGTCCCAGCACCCCCTCTTCGAACTATAAACCCTAAACCCTGAACCCGAACACCCTAAACCCTACACCCTAACAGTATAGTGAACCAAGTGGTGGAAAAACCGGTCCACTTCCATCGCAATCAGAGGACCAGTTGGGATATGGGCAGTTCTCTAAATTAGGGTCCCTTTTAGGGTCCTGTTTATAAGGGTGCCATACTATAGCGGGGACCTAAAAAGGGACCCTAATTTAGAGAACTACCCATGAGCACACGAGTCCAAGCGGCTTGGGCTGATATAGTCACAGTTCCGGGAATTTGGTGCAGGTTCCTGCTTTCCCATGATATAAGTATAGCACAACGACATACGTCAGACCCTTATATCCCGAAGGCCTTGCTGATAGTATAGGGGCCTTAATAATTAGAATAGGGTTTGGGGTATATCATACTCCAATTAGAATAAGGAACCCCCAAAACCTTATTCTAATTAAGCCCCCCCCCCAAACCCAAACCCTTAGCCCTAAACCCTAAACCCTAAACCGCACCCTAAACCCTAAACCCTAAACCCTTTCGCCCCCTGCGCTCGCCGAACTCGCCTAAAGAATGGAACCGGATCGTGGGTGTGGCTCTGCGCCGCCTGGGCTGGAGGTGGGAGTGGATGTGGGCACTTTGCGGAAACTGCTGATGGAACAATCGGACCGGATTCGAGACTCCGGAGATCGTGTCCTGGGGGAGGCCATGACAAAAATCCAGCAAAAGCATGAGGAGTATTTTGTCTTGATCGAAGTCAAGGTGCAGCGACTGTCGGATCGGTACAACAGTCTGGCGGGCAGGCTGCGGATGCTGGAGGAAAACCAACACTTCACTGAAACCAAGGAGGACGCGCAAGACAACCTTGGTACTGGGGGACATACAGTGGCTGAACAGGACCTCAGAAAAACAAAGCAGAAGAGCAGAAGACGCGGCAAAAGAGCTGTGAACAAAGACAAATCTGGGAATGAGGCACCGATGATTGACGATGAGAAGGA